TGAAGCAAGGTGATAAAAAGATCATTTAAACACACACAGAAACAATCACACAACAACACTGCAAAATAGAAACAGTTCTAAGAAACATCAGTTCTGATATGAATAAAACAGACTAAACAACAATTAGTGTGTCAACACTCTAATTGTCCAGAAAAACAGAAGTGGTTTTGAAATATTATTTATCTGCTTAAACACAGGAAACTTATGGTAGGTAAAATTTTTCAAAATAAAAATCAGATCATACTTCATTTCAATTTGTGACCAGAAAAAAGCTCGTCTCTTAGCAAGAGCTTAACAAATACTGTTATTTTGGAAAAAAACATAATTTTGCCGCTCTTTTGAAGTGTCTCAACACTCCATTGATTAATAAAACATAAGAGTTTTGAAAGAGACAAGAAACTTAAAGAAGGTAAATTTTATAAAAATAAAACTCAGGTCTTTACTTCATTTCAATTCGATACTAGAAAAAAAAGCTCGTCTCTTAACAACAGCTTAACAAATCTTGTTATTTTTGGAAAAAAAACATAATAATTCTGCCAATCTTTTGAAGTGTGTCAACACTCATTAGATTAATGAAACATAAGTGTTGTTGAAATATTATTCATCTACTTAGACACAAGAAACTTGTAGTAGGTAAATGTTATAAAAATAAAAATCAGGTCATTACTTCGTTTCAATTTGTTACCAGAAAAAAGATTGTGTCTCAGCAACAGCTTAAAAAAATATTTTTTGGAAAAAAACAGTAATTCTGCCTCTCTTTTTAAAGTGTCTCAACACTCTAATTGTTCATAAAACATAAGTGTTTTTCAAAAGAGATAAGAAACTTAAAGTAGGTATAACCAGGTGAAAAAATGGGTACCTGTCAAATGTATTTTTAAAGGCATGTTTTTGTTTCACCGACTGGTTGTTATTCTTGTTTTTGCCAGCATGTGGTGCTGTTGTTACAGAGAGGTCTAAAATGACCGGAAATAAAAAAAAAAAACTCATTCATGTATCGTGGCACTAAAATCCAAACAGAAGAGAAGGACATTTTGTGCACCGAGACCGGTTGGAGGAAGGTGACTATATGGCCACCTGACCAGAAGATCCGAGTTCTCGAATTGCCACTGCCGTTTGTTTTACCCGTTGTTAGAGTTTAGCTCTGTGAAGCTACGGCCGCCATTTTCACTGAAGCTAACCGTTGATTGAATACGGGTCATGTTTTTTCAGCATATATATATATATATATATATATATATATATATATATATATATATATATATATATATATATATATATATATATATATATATATATATATATATATATATATATAATACCTGAGCAATAGAGGCCCAGATCTACCACACCAGACAAGACCCAAGGTGTAGGTTGTGCAAGGAGGCCCCTGAGACAGTCCAGCACATCACAGCAGGGTGCAAGATACTGGCAGGGAAAGCGTACATGGAACGACATAACCAAGTGGCAGGCATAGTGTACAGAAACATCTGTGCAGAATATGGACTGGAAACCCCGAGATCAAAGTGGGAAACACCCCCAAAGGTGGTGGAGAACGCCAGAGCTAAGATCCTGTTGGACTTCCAGATCCAGACAGACAGAATGGTAATGGCGAACCAACCAGACATTGTCGTAGTGGATAAACAACAGAGGAAAGCCGTTGTGGTAGATGTAGCAATACCAAGTGATTGCAACATCAGGAAAAAGGAGCACGAGAAACTGGAGAAATACCAGGGCCTCAGGGAAGAACTGGAGAGGGCCTGGAAGGTGAAGACCACAGTGGTGCCTGTGGTCATCGGGGCCCTCGGGGCAGTAACCCCCAAACTGGAGCAGTGGCTACAACAGATCCCAGGAACAACATCAGACATCTCAGTCCAGAAATGTGCAGTCCTTGGCACAGCCAAGATACTGCGCAGGACCCTCAAGCTCCCAGGCCTCTGGTAGAGGACCCGAGCTCAGAGGATAAGAACCACCCGCGGTGGGTGAGAAGGGAATTTTATTTTTTATATATCTGCATTTGAGAGAGAGAAAACTATTCTTCTATATTCTATTTTTTTAAGCTCTGTGTGCATCATTACTCCTGGCTTCATAGGTAAATTTTATAAAAATAAAACTCAGATCTTTAGTTCGTTTCAATTCGTTGCAAGAAAAAAAGCTCGTCTCTTAGCAACAGCTTAACAAATATTATTTTTTGAAAAAAACATAGTAATTCTGCCGTTATTTTTAAAGTGTATCAACACTCTTAATTTTTCATAAAACAGAAGTGTCGTTGAAATATCATTTATCTACTTAGACACAAGAAACCTAAAGTTAGTAAATTTTCTAAAAATAAAAATCAGGTCTTTATTTCGTTTCAATTCGTGACCAGAAAACAAGCTTATGTCTAAGAAGCAGCTGAACGAACAGCTATTGTTATTTTTGGAAAAAAACATAGTAATTCTGCCACTTCTTTGAAATGTGTCAACACTCTATTGATTCTTAAAAGTATAAGTCTCTTTGAAAGACACAAGAAACTTGTAGTAGGTACATTTTCTAAAAATAAAAATAAGATCTTTACTTCGTTTCAATTCGTTACCAGAAAAGAGCATCTCTCTTGGCAACAGCTTAACAAACTGTTTTTGAAATATTATTGATTTACTTAGACACAAGAAATGTATAGTAGATAAATTTGATAAATTTGACAAAAAATATTTTTTAAAAGAACATAGTAATTCTGCCTGTCTTGGAGTGTCTCAACACTACATTGTTTCATAAAACATAAGTGTTGTTGAAAGATTATTTATCTACTTAGACACAAGAAACTTATAATAGGTAAATCTTATAAAAATAAAACTCAGGTCTTTGGTTCGTTTCAATTCGTTGCAAGAAAGAAAGCTCGTCTCTTAGCAACAGCTTAACAAACATTGTTGTTTTTGAAAAACAGTTATTCTACCCCTGTTTTGAAATGTCTCAAACTCTAATTGTTCATAAGACATAAGAGTTTTTCCAAGAGATAAGAAACTTAAAGTAGGTCAATTTTATAAAAATAAAACTCACGTCTTTTGGTCGTTTCAATTCGTTACCAGAAAAAAAGATTGTGTCTTAGCAACAGCTCAACAAATCTAATTTTTGAAAAAAAAAAAAAAAAAACAGCAATTCTTCCACTCTTTTGAACTGTCTCAACACTCTGTTTGATTAATAAAACATAAGTGGTTCTGAAATATTCATTTATCTACTTAACACAAGACACTTGGAGTTGGTAAATTTTATAAAAATAAGATCTTTACTTTGTTTCAACAAGAAAAACAGCAGCTAAACAAATATTGACCCAAAAACATAGTAATTCTGACGGTCTTTTGAAAGTTTGTCAACACTAATTGTTCATAAAACATCAGTGTTTTTGTAAGAGACAAGAAACTTATGGTATGTAAATTTGATTAAAAAAAACCACTTATCTCTTTAATTCATTTCAATTCATTACAAAAAAACAAGCTTGTCTTTTAGCAACAGCTTAACAAACATTGTTGTTTTTGAAAAACAGTTTTCTACCCCTGTTTTGAAATGTCTCAAACTCTAATTGTTCATAAGACATAAGAGTTTTTCCAAAGAGATAAGAAACTTAAAGTAGGTCAATTTTATAAAATAAAACTCACGTCTTTTGGTCGTTTCAATTCGTTAGCAGAAAAAAAGATTGTGTCTTAGCAACAGCTCAACAAATCTAATTTTTGAAAAAAAAAAAAAAAACAGCAATTCTGCCAATCTTTTGAAGTGTGTCAACACTCATTAGATTAATGAAACATAAGTGGTTCTGAAATATTCATTTATCTACTTAACACAAGACACTTGGAGTTGGTAAATTTTATAAAAATAAGATCTTTACTTCGTTTCAACAAGAAAAACAGCAGCTAAACAAATATTGACCCAAAAACATAGTAATTCTGACGGTCTTTGAAAGTTTGTCAACACTAATTGTTCATAAAACATCAGTGTTTTTGTAAGAGACAAGAAACTTATGGTATGTAAATTTGATTAAAAAACAAAACAAAACACTTATCTCTTTAATTCGTTTTCGATTCATTACAAGAAAACAAGCTTGTCTTTTAGCAACAGCTTAACAAATATTGTTTTTAGAAAACAGAAATTCTGCCACTCTTTAAGTGTCTCAACACTTCATTGATTAAAATAATATTTAAATAAAATTAATATTTAAATAATCTTTATTACCCCTACTCTTTATTAAGGACAGTGCACATTAATGAACAATCAACACTACTGTATAGACTGTAAATGGGCCAGATTGTAGCATAATTGCTAATTTACATCTGTAGTTCTAGACAAGGAGACCCAAACAACAAAAAGACATTACAAACATACAATCAAGAATTAACAAACATTCACAAAAAAAACACAGTAAAAAGTTAGTTAGGTTTTTTTGAAATATTATTTATCTATTTAGATATAAGAAACATGTAGGTAAATTTTATAAAAATCAAAATCAGATCTTTAGTTTTGTTTCGTTACCAGAAAAACAGGGCTCAACAGGTGTTGACACCTCAACATATATTGTTGTTTTGAAAAACGTAGTAATTCGGCCGTTGAAGAGTCTCAACTCTTAAGTGTTTTAACAACAATTTGAGGAAGAGAGTAACGTGGCACCCTTTCAACTTGGCATTCCCCATTGAACAACCACAGAATACATAGCTCTCTGATCTCGGCCGGGGGGCTCCAGGGAATGGCTCCCAGGGTTGGGCACTGTCCCAAGGAGTCCCCAGGAAAGGCCCAGTCCGGTGCCAGTCACCTGGCACCCTTGCAACTGACCAAGCCCCAGTGAGCATCGTTCTGGGTAAACGGTTCCCAGACCCTGGATCTCGTCCAGGGACCACCGACTTACCTTCTGCCACCTAACCTTTACCCTAAACCTTACAGGTTTAGTGCATCCAATGCCTGCATGGAACTTGGCTGGATCCCCTGGTTCTAGAGACTCTGAAGGGGTCCCTTCAGAGTCCCCTGGTATCCCTTCAGAGTCCCCTGGTATCCCTTCAGAGTCCCTTTAACTCTGCAAGTTGAGCCTCCTGTGATGGTCGAGAGGTTTTAGTCTCAATAAAGAAAATAGTAGTCTGCAAGGATTGTACACAGAGTCTCAATCAAGATTCAATAATTTATTTACAAAAACAGCTGGTTAAAAAAAGGAGGCATAGACAGTTCCTGACAAGAAATCAATACACAAGTTTGTGAGAGATTCTTAACTGGCCCAAAACGGGGAAAAGGGGGCGCGGTCCTCTACTGTTTCCAGTAGAGGTCCGACCGATCCTCCGGTTCCCAGCGAACCTCCAGCGGCGACCTAGCAGTCCCCACTCCTACAGTTGGCCGCCAGATCAGCAGCACTCCTTGGGGCCAGTCCTCCATCTCCAGATTAAATCTGAGAGAGAGTCTTAGCTGGCCCAACAACAAGGGAGGGGAAAGGGATGTAGTCCTCTGCTGCTCCCAGGCCGACCGATCCTCCGGTTCCCAACAGACCTCCAGCTGCGATCCCGCAATTCCCGCTCTTCCAGCTGGGCTCCAGCTCCTCTGCGGCGTCCAGATCAGCAGTACTCCTTTTGGGCCAGTTTGGGCCAGTCCTCCATCTCCAAACCTCCAGTCCACCTCCGTCCTCCTACAACCGACGTCTGTAGCCCACCTGGTCCATCTGCCCGTCCAGCTGCAGCCGTCTCACCTGGCCGTCTTCTCCAGCCGTGTTGTACCAATCAAAACATGCAACACAACAACCCAACATTTAAACCAAAATAATCTAGGAAACTAACTAACTTCAAAATACACAGTCCAAACAATATAAGAATCATAAATTAACTCAAAAGAAAAACAAGATCACCTTGCCACACTCCAGCTCCTCATTTTTTTCTGTGGCCATTTCTCAACAAAGAAATCACAGACAAGCAATGTTAGATAAACTGCATTAATCTAACATCCACATAATATCTTGAATCAACTCACATACCTGTTCAAAACAGAAATAACCCAGTACAGCAGTCTGGGCTCTGGCTTTCCCTCACACACCTTAAACGATCAAAGAGCAAAAATAACCAAGTTGTTTCGGTAAATTCAACAAATGTCGCTGTGGTGGGAATTAAATACCCAATACAGTGCTGCACCTACATAAAACAATTGAAAAGCAATATATAAGGACTTGTAAAGTCCTGAATCAAATTGAATATTTATGATGGATGAGATACTTTGGAAGGAAGAAAGCCTGAAAGGCATGGACATTAAATCAACATTAATGGTATCTGGTTATTTGTGGCGTTCACTGTCTAGTATTTTGTTCGTACAATACTTGAATGTCAAGCGAACGCTCAATTTTGTGACGTAGGTGCATACTTTTATCACACTGAAAATTGGAAATAACGCACGACGGTGGCACACCCATAAACGAAAGTGATATGTTTCTACAAAGAGAAGTAGATGTCTTTGTGTTTATATGTGGTAAATTATAATATCATGAAACAAAGCGATTCTCCAGTTGTTCTTTCGTGGTCGCTGTTCACACATCTGTGGTGCTGAAAATGCACTGGTTACTTTTTCTACCTTAATGTCATAACACGAAAGAGCAGGTTACTTGCTGTTATAGTGTGAGATTTTACACTACAGCAGCAACAAGGGATCATTTGACAGCTGCATTTAAACCTCTATTATAATGAAGATACATTCAATTTCATTGGCTATCATTTTTTAAAACCAAATCAAAAGTGAACGAATTTTAACCCAATAGCAGGCGTTTAAATATGCATTAAGTTTCTAACTGTGTCAAAAGTCAAACTGTTACAAGATACCAAAGTAATCTTTAAAATCAATTCATCTAAGAAATGTCACAATGTATTTCTATAACTCGGTAACAACTGTAATTGTATGAATGACAGTTCTAAACAGCAAGTCTGAAAGTACTTTATAGGAGCTGTTTCTCCTTCTTAGTTAAATCTTATTTAGATTTAGTTAATTTTTATTTCTTCCTTATTTTCTAGTTGATTTATAATTAAAATTTTTGTTCAGTTTATTTAAAATAAGTTTGCTGGTTCACTTAAGTTAATTAATTAAATTTTGGGACGTGGGTGTTACACAGTACAGATTGAACTAGCACATTATGCACGTGGGTGGTCAAAAGGTTTTTACCAGTCTATTCAGTTAGTCATCAGTCAGTCTATCCAATCGGTCAGCCAGTTCATAAAAACAACAGGTGTAGGAATCAGACTGAAAGAAGTAGTGGAATCCTGTGAGGCCTGTTACTTGTTTTGTCTGAATAGTGGAATAAAACAAAGAACTGCATTTTGACCTTTTGTAGAATCCATGATGCACCATTTGCACTATTTGAGTTGAATTCACCTTTTAGTCTTACGTTTTGTTACTTTTGAATTTGAGTTTTGGACAAATAGTCAGTACAACCTAAATAAACATTATTTTGTAATTATGACATAAAACAGTGACTATGCCTAATCCTTTTTATAGCTGAGGTTAACAAAAATGTACTCAATTTTTCTGTTTTATGTTACAGGATGAGCTGGATGACACAGCACAACTATGGAATACACACCACATCAGGCCATCTAAAAAACTTGCACGTTCCCAGCGGTCGGCCCAATGTGATGTATGCCCTACCTGAACTGTACAGAACTACAGACTTCCTCACTCCTTTTGAAGTAGAACAGATTCAACTGTGTAGAGATGCATGCACTTTTCGGCAGACCATACCATGTGATTCTGCTGTGTATGACATTTGCAATGTTTTAATGGCAGAATATGGTCTAATGACACCATCAGATCCATATGATTCTGTGAAACTGTACATGTTACTGAGAGATGCCATTAGAGGATTACTGTGAGTATTGACTGGAAAGAGCCTGCCATGTTAGGGTTCCAAAAATAGAAATATGAAATACAGCGGTCCTAATTTGAACCTCAGGCTGATCCCTGCCTAAAGGAACCTCAGACTGAAAATCTTTTGGCCTCCAAGTCACTTAAAATAGCACTTTAAATACCAGATCACTCTGTGCTAAAGCTCTATTAATTAATGATTTCATCACTGAGTATAATGTGATGTTGATGACTGACAGAAACATGGTTGAATGACGATAATGACCAAATTGTACTCATTGAATCAGCGCCTCCTGACTACAATTTTTTAAGTGAGAATAGAAAACATAAAAAAGGAGGAGGCGTGGCTTCTATATTTAAAAATACCATAAACTGTAGTAAAATCTCTTTCGGTCATTTCACATCTTTTGAGTATCTTGGAATTCAGGTTAAAGGCTTCAAACGAACTTTGACACTAACTTTATACAAAACTCCAGCATATGTGGAAAATTTCTTTACTGACTTGAATGATCTTTTATCTCTATGCATTGATTATGATTGTTTAATAATTGTTGGTGATTTTAACATTCATGTGGACAAACCCGAAAACAGAGGAGCAAAAAAGCTCTCTGATATTTTAGAAAATTTTGGTTTAACACAACATGTAAACAGGCAACACACACTCAAGGACACACACTGGACCTGGTTATCAGTAAGGGTGTGACTATTTCCAATGTCTCTGTAACTGATGTCGCCCTGTCGGATCACTTTGCTGTTATCTTTGAAGGTTCTTTATTCTTTGACCCACTTGGACAAACAGCTACTGTCACAAAACGTTCTTTCACAGAAAACACAACAGAAACATTTAATCAAATCTATTCTTCCTCCTCACCCTTAAGCTGTAATGATGTAGATCAGTTGTTAGATGATTTTCAGTCTAAAGTCTCATATATCATTAATTCCATTGCCCCATTTAAAGTAAAGGTTTTGACTGGTAGAAAGAAATCTTCATGGAGAAATGCACAAATAGTTCGGTCTGCAAGACAAGTCTGCCGCAGGGCAGAACGATAATGGCGTAAAACTCAACTTCATGTTCATCATGACATCTACAAAGAAAAACTACGTAACTATCACTTAACACTAAAACATGCAAGGGAGGCTTTCTTTGCAGATGTCATAAACAAAAACATCAATAATGCTCGAACGTTATTTGCAACAGTTGACAGGCTCACAAACCCTCCTGTGACGTTACCACATGAACTCCAATCTAATGCTGCCTGGAACAAGTTTTCCAGCTTCTTTTCAGAGAAAATCCAAAAAATCAGAGGATTAATCTGCACATCAACTTCAAAGCCAGAACCATTGCTGTACCAAAACAAAACAAATACAGAAAAAATGACCCATTTTCAACTACTTAATTATAAAACTCTAGAAGAAATTATAAGTCAATTAAGTTCAAGCTCCTGCTGTCTGGATGTCCTACCCACACATTTCTTTAAGAAAGTCCTGCCTGTTATTGCTACTGATCTGATCCAAATAGTAACTCATCGCTTACATCAGGTGTTTTCCCCAGGCCTTGAAAACAGCAGTCATCAAACCACTGTTAAAAAAGAACAACCTGGACAAATCACTATTGCAGAATTACAGGCCAATCTCAAATCTCCCATTCATCAGCAAAGTTATTGAAAAAACTGTGTGTAAACAATTAAATAGTTTCCTCATGATGACCAACTGCTTTGACACTTTCCAGTCTGGTTTTCGTGCTCACCACAGACGGAGACTGCCCTCGTAAAAGTATTCAATGATATTCATATAAATACGGACTGTAGCAGAACCACGGTGCTGGTTCTGTTGGACCTCAGTGCAGCTTTTGACACTGTCGACCATGACATATTATTGAATCGACTTGAAAGTTGGGTTGGACTCTCTGGTTCGGTGCTCGACTGGTTTGAATCCTACATAAAGAACAGGGATTTCTTTGTTTCAATTGGAAACTTCTCATCAAAGAGGTCAAAGGTCACATGTGGGGTACCCCAAGGTTCAATCCTAGGACCCCTCTTATTTAATATTTATATTCTCCCACTAGCTCAGGTCATAACAGGGAATAATATTAAGTACCATAACTATGCAGATGACACACAGCTCTACATTACGATGTCAGGTGACTCTGAACCCATCCAATCACTGAATAAATGTTTAGAACAGATAAATGTGTGGATGTGCCAAAACTTTCTCCAACTGAACAAAAATAAAACTGAAGTCATTATTTTTGGACCTAAAGAGGAACGATCTAGAGTCAATGCACAGCTTCAGTTATTACAACTAAAAACTAGCGATCAGGCCCGAAACCTGGGAGTAGTGATGGACTCGGAGCCACATAAAGACCAGAGCCACATAAAGACAGTAACAAAATCAGCCTTCTACCACCTGAAGAACATCTCCAGGATTAGAGGACTAATGTCTCAGCCAGATCTAGAGAAACTTATTCATGCGTTTGTCTTTAGTCGCATTGATTATTGCAACAGTGTCTTCACAGGTCTGTCCAATAAATCAATCAAAAGCTGCAGTTGATCCAGAACGCTGCTGCTCGCGTTCTCACTGGAACCATGAAGATAGAGCACATAACACCAGTTTTAAAGTCCCTCCACTGGCTCCCTGTAGCTCAAAGAATAGATTTTAAAATACTGTTGTTAGTTTACAAATCACTGAATGGTTTAGCACCACAATACATCAAAGATCTGCTGTTGTTGTATCAACCTTACAGACCTCTCAGGTCTTCTGGTTCTGGTCTGCTCTGCATCCCCAGAACCAGAACCAAAAGAGGAGAAGCAGCTTTCAGCATCTACGCACCAAAACTTTGGAACAAACTTCCAGAAAACTGTAAAACAGCGGAAACCCTGACTTCCTTCAAATCTCAAGTAAAAACGCACCTGTTTAGAGTTGCATTTGAAATGTAATATGTATGGATTTGATTTTGTGGCTATGTATGTAATCTTTTTTTTTTTTTTTTTTTCCTGTTGTGGGCAACGGGGCCCGGCGAATACCCGTGGTTAAACGGACGGCGGAGTCCGGCGGTAACAGGCGCTTAAATTCCGTGTCAAAGGGAAGGGGGAAGAAAGGGAAGAAAGAGGGGAAGAAGGGGAAAGAAAAAAAAAGGAAAAAAAAAAAAAACCTTGGTATTTTATTCTATGTTGCATGCCTTTGTGTTTTGTGTTTATGATGTCAAGCACTTTGAAATGCCTTGTAGCTGAAATGTGCTATACAAATAAAATTTGACTGATTGATTGATGATTCTACTGCTTGAAGACCAAGTACAGAGGCAACTATGAATGTCTTGGACAACCTGACTGGAAATATGCCATAATCAATGAGTCCTTTGGCCCAATTTGGCTTACTGCATATCACCTCTCTTTGGAAAAGTCTGGTCTGAGTTTTGGCACCTCCCTCCTCCCCTTCACAGAGCTCCAAGAACTGCTCCCAGAAAGCTGTATACACGTCCCTTGACACTCCACCGTCGTCCACAGCCATTTCATGATTAAATTCCATTCTTAATTCTGATTCCATTTGCTTTTGTTATGAACAACTTAAGAAGGTCATCTATGACTATGGCACAGCGGATATGTGCATACCTGGTCTTTGGGATGTCCTACATCTCCAGTGGAAGACGGTAGTGCATAATTTTCTGTTGAAGGGATCATGTGTACTACAGCTGTTTGTGGAGCCTGGAATATAACATGAATTAGAACAGTACATTTTAGTTGTCATATTTTCTTCATAAGACAACCAAGAGTTTGAAAAGACATAGTAATAATTTAGATATGTAAGTATCTAATTTAGGAACTTCATGACATTCATTACATTGGTGTAACGTTATTTTAAAAATGCAAACAAATCATGTATAGAAGCAAATAAAATTTTAAAACAAAACACATTTACTTCTGAAAAGTTTTCGGCTTCTGTCTAAGGATGACTGGCCATCATGGGAAGAGTAGAAGCAAGCTCACCATCACCATCTTCTGACCTTGATCTCCCCAGCGTCCCTACAGGTTTTCCCGGCGTCCCTCCAGGTCTCCCCGGCGTCCCTCCAGATTTTCCCGGCGTCCCTCCAGGTTTCCCCAGCGTCCCTACATGTCTCCCCGGGGTCCCTACAGGTCTCCCCGGGGTCCCTACAGGTTTCCCTGGGGTCCCTCCAGGTCTCCCCTGCGTCCCTCCAGGTCTCCCCTGCGTCCCTCCAGGTTTCCCCCGTCCCTACATGTCTCCCCGGGGTCCCTACAGGTTTCCCTGGGGTCCCTACAGGTCTCCCTGCCGTCCCTACAGGTTTCCCCAGGGTCCCTACAGGTTTCCCCGGGGTCCCTACAGGTTCCCCGTCGTCCCTCCAGGTCTCCCCTGCGTCCCTACAGGTTTCCCCCTGGGTCCCTCCAGGTCTCCCCTGCGTCCCTACAGGTTTCCCCGGGTCCCTACAGGTTTCCCCGGGTCCCTACAGGTTTCCCCAGGCTCCCTACAGGTTTCCCCAGGGTCCCTACAGGTTTCCCCGGGGTCCCTACAGGTTTCCCCGTCGTCCCTCCAGGTCTCCCCTGCGTCCCTACAGGTTTCCCCCTGGGTCCCTCCAGGTCTCCCCTGCGTCCCTACAGGTTTCCCCAGGGTCCCTACAGGTTTCCCCCGGGTCCCTACAGGTTTCCCCGGGCTCCCTACAGGTTTCCCCAGGGTCCCTACAGGTTTCCCCCGGGTCCCTACAGGTTTCCCCGGGCTCCCTACAGGTTTCCCCGGGGTCCCTACAGGTTTCCCCGGGCTCCCTACAGGTTTCCCCAGGGTCCCTACAGGTTTCTCGGGCTCCCTACAGGTTTCCCCGGGGTCCCTACAGGTTTCCCCGTCGTCCCTCCAGGTCTCCCCTGCGTCCCTCCAGGTTTCCCCAGCGTCCCTACATGTCTCCCCGGGGTCCCTACAGGTCTCCCCGGGTCCCTACAGGTTTCCCTGGGGTCCCTACAGGTCTCCCTGGCGTCCCTACAGGTTTCCCCAGGGTCCCTACAGGTTTCCCCGGCGTCCCTCCAGGTCTCCCCTGCGTCCCTACAGGTTTCCCCAGGGTCCCTACAGGTTTCCCCGGGGTCCCTACAGGTTTCCCCGTCGTCCCTCCAGGTCTCCCCTGCGTCCCTACAGGTTTCCCCCTGGGTCCCTCCAGGTCTCCCCTGCGTCCCTACAGGTTTCCCCAGGGTCCCTACAGGTTTCCCCGGGTCCCTACAGGTTTCCCCGGGCTCCCTATAGGTTTCCCCGGGGTCCCTACAGGTTTCCCCGGGCTCCCTACAGGTTTCCCCAGGGTCCCTACAGGTTTCCCCGGGCTCCCTACAGGTTTCCCCGGGGTCCCTACAGGTTTCCCCGGGGTCCCTACAGGTTTCCCCGGCGTCCCTACAGATTTTCCCAGCGTCCCTCCAGGTCTCCCCTGCGTCCCTACAGGTTTCCCCCTGGGTCCCTACAGGTTTCCCCAGGGTCCCTACAGGTTTCCCCGGGCTCCCTACAGGTTTCCCCGGGGTCCCTACAGGTTTCCCCGGGGTCCCTACAGGTTTCCCCAGGGTCCCTACAGGTTCCCCGGGGTCCCTACAGGTTTCCCCGGCGTCCCTACAGATTTTCCCAGCATCCCTCCAGGTCTCCCCTGCGTCCCTACAGGTTTCCCCCTGGGTCCCTACAGGTTTCCCCAGGGTCCCTACAGGTTTCCCCGGGCTCCCTACAGGTTTCCCCGGGGTCCCTACAGTTTTCCCGGGGTCCCTACAGGTTTCCCCAGGGTCCCTACAGGTTTCCCTGGGCTCCCTACAGGTTTCCCCGGGCTACCTACAGGTTTCCCCGGGGTCCCTACAGGTTTCCCCGGGCTCCCTACAGGTTTCCCCAGGGTCCCTACAGGTTTCCCCGGGGTCCCTACAGGTTTCCCCGGGGGGTCCCTTTTTCCCCGGGCCCTACAGGTTTCCCCGGCTCCCTACAGGTTTCCCCAGGGTCCCTCCAGGTCTCCCCTGCGTCCCTACAGGTTTCCCCCGGGTCCCTACAGGTTTCCCCGGGCTCCCTACAGGTTTCCCCGGGGTCCCTACAGGTTTCCCCAGGGTCCCTACAGGTTTCCCCGGGGTCCCTACAGGTTTCCCCGGGGTCCCTACAGGTTTCCCAGGGGTCCCTACAGGTTTCCCCAGGGTCCCTACAGGTTTCCCCGGGGTCCCTACAGGTTTCCCCGGGGTCCCTACAGGTTTCCCCGTGGTCCCTACAGGTTTCCCCGGGGTCCCTACAGGTTTCCCCGGGGTCCCTACAGGTTTCCCCGGGGTCCCTACAGGTTTCCCCCAGGGTCCCTACAGGTTTCCCCGGGGTCCTACAGGTTTCCCCGGCGTCCCTACCGATTTTCCCAGCGTCCCCACAGGTCTCCCCGGCGTGTCCTTCCTGCTGCTATCCTGACCAGCCTCTGAGTCCTGAGTCCTCTGTACCGGAGACCATCAATATTTGCACTGGAACCCGAAAAGGACATCAAAACGGGTGTGGACTACAGCAAAACAGGCAATCCCTAGTCCGACGCCTAGGGCAAAACATTTTAAGAGAGATGGCTTCTGCACTGGCACGTCTTTATCCAGCTGCTTGTCCATGTTCAACTCTCTATCCTCCACCCTTTTGTTGAGATGTTGTAGTTTTTGCCTTAGATAGTTGTTTTCCTCTCGCAATTTCAAAATTTCGTTCTCCATTTTCTGAAACCGCCTGTTGCTTTCAAGCTCGTGCTCTGCAAGTTGAGCCTCAAGCTCCAGATATTGTTGGTTGTCCATTGTCCAAACAAATCGCAGACAAGCAATGTCGATAGGAGAGCCTTCAACAAATGATTGATATTTCCTGGCTGTTCCCTGGAATTCAAGAATGCAGCTCTATGATGTCACAGAGGAACGTGATGTCACAGAGGAACGTGATGTCACGTTTCCCGCTCCAGCAGAACAACTGAAAAACGTCTGAAGTTTGAATAAAAACAATTTTCATTTTCTATTTTATATTGTGAAACTAGGAAAAAAACATCTACACCATTAATCAATGAAAATATGAATTCCTATTGAGTCAGTGATATATTCGATGACAATTTTAGGATTGAAACTTAATTTGCTGTTTCTGAAATGTGTCCCTGTAAAACACGCTGTAACTTATCTAGGTGTTAAAAGGTCACAGGAACAGGTAGTAATTTTGCTCTTGTTTGCGAGTGTTCAAAAGAAATTCAACAGTCGGCAAGAAAGGGATTTAAGCAGAAGGAATGTTAAGGGCGCCATATGTTTTTTCACCAGTAGATGTCAGTAAAGCGCTTTGTTCTGATCTGGACAAGATTCCCTTGGAGTTTTTTTTTTCTCTATAAAAATACTGCACATAAAATAATAATAATAATATAATGGGCTTTTAAATTCTGTAGCAGGAGGTTTAAATGTTTTGACATTTACTGTCTTTAATCAAATAGTAAAAATTAATCTGATTAAGAGTTTAAAAAACTCTTTAAAAAATTAAAAAATAAAACTTTCATGTGGAATATTTTCCCAAATCATCTGTTCAGCAAACCAGGGTGTATACATCTGTTGTTGTGTTGTATTTTTTTCAGTTAGGAAAACATCCAGACAAATCAGCTAAATTTCATCAGCAGCTACATAAATCATTACTGCTGTGAAACTGGGTTGATGAAAATATTAATTTGATAAGCCAGTTACTCAATACTAATTGTGAATCAGCGACCTGCGATCATTAAATCATGGAAATATATAATTAACATTGCTTTTTCACCCCGAGGTTTGTACTATAAAGTACCTATTTTTCATTTGGCTTGACCAATTCTGATTTTTTTTTTTTCTTCAAAATTACTGAATTTTCGTATTTTCCCATTTAAATTGCCAGAAGCGAAGCTGGTGAGGCAGCAGAGAGTTGAGCCTCAAGTTGATCAACCTCTCACTAACTGGAGCATGTTCCTCCTGTCTGTACATCACCAATGGCAAAAAAAAAAACATTTGATTTTCCCTAATTTAGCTTCTGTAATATAATGTATAGTGTACCACCCGGTACCTCCTGCTGACTGTTGGCTCTGCTTCTCCTTAATGTTTCTGCCAGGTGGGTAAAAGCCGCTGCTGATGGGATCTGGCCTGGAAGTGAACGGCTGTAAATAGAAGACACTGCAGAACCTCAAGTGTTAAAGGAAGTTTCGGCCCAGAGCATTTAGAGGTTATGAAATAAACGTCAGAGAAAATACTGCAGCAATAATTAGAACCGCAGCATAAAGCCAAACATGCCGCAATTAAATGAATCAAAATGTCCCCAAAGAATCGGCGGGCTGACATAGGGGCCAACGGGGGATTCAGGTAGATTCCAGAGATGCAGGTTGGCTCAAAGTAATATGGGGCCCTAGACAGACGTTTAACATGTTTAAATATCAGTGAATCTGTTAGAGGGAGACCAGATTTATTGTTCTAGATCTCAGATGTGCAAACATCAAAAATTATATATAGTTAAACCCTTTGAGCTTTTTGTTCTATAAATCAGTCTGCAGCCAACTTGTTCTCAATGTTAAGATTTTATTAGGGCTTAATTAGTAAAATGGCAGCAAATAAGCTTATTTCATAACTGCATAACCTTTGACCTCTCCTCTGGTCTGTTTAACAGCTAGTCTCAGATCAACTCAGCCCTCCAGACCATCAGCAGCAGAAAAGGCAACTTTATTCCTATTGGGGAAAATATACTACAGCTGCTTTGCATTGTGCCCACATGATGGCAATGACACAGATTGATCCAATTAGATTCTTGATTAATAATGGGGGTTGCTGTGTTGTTGTTCGGTCTTTTAGGCACATCCCTAAACAAAGGCAAATCTTTCGTCCTAGACATCTGCTGCTCAAAGATGTTTTAACGAGACAAAAAGTCGTACAGAATATTTGCTTTATTATGAAACCTGGGGGATTTGTTCACAGAAAGCCATCCTTCATTTGTACAGACCCATGAAGCAGGTTGTTGTTGCAATTACAAAAACAAAAGGAGACACTGTGTCCAGAGCAGGCTGAGGTCGCCAAAACTGTTTTAATACAAAACTGAAGCACGTTTGGTTCCACGCAGCATTCAGGGACCGTAGGAATTACACGGCGGCGCTCTGACGGCTGCGTGGCACTCAACATGCTCCAGAAACTAAACATGGCATATTGTTGTGAAACCCAAAACCTGATGACAATTCTAAAAGCAAC